AATTGCTGTCTTGGATCGGAGTAAGTAAAGTAGTATAAGTAGTAATAAGTAATGTATTTGCTGATATAATGTGTGTTGATGGTTTAATATTAATGAAAAAGAAAAATTGTGTGCCTATCGTGATCATTATTACCATATAGTTACCATATTCTATTATATATTATTCAAAAAATTATCATCAGTTTCATTGCAGAATAAAAGTTCAAATATATTAAATGAAGGAGAAGAAGCTAGAACCGTACTAAATGGTAAATGTTTTACAAAACTCAAGACCGGACTATAGGGAATTAATAAGCCAACGGGCGCCGTAACATCTAGATACCACTCGCGGAGCACACCTGCCGAACCGGAGATTATATTGCGCGTTCAAATTGTTAAAAGCATTTTGTCAGCTCGTTTATTCCACGGATAGATCCGTCGCCTGAGCAAACTGGAGATAGGAAGGAACGCCGGTTGGCGCCAGAACCTATTGTAGGTGTGTGGGGCCGGGGATCTATTTCTCCGATATTGTCGGGTTCACGTCACTAAGCGCCGTAGTGAGCAACGAATGCAGGTTACGACGGGTGAGAGAGCATGCTAGCAGCAGCGCCAGCATCTCACATATCGCGATCTGTGAGCGAGCCGTCAGCAGCAGCGCCAGCAGCGGTTGGCGGCGGGCAGTAGTAGTAGTTAGCAGCAGAGCAGTAGCCAGCGAAGCTGGAGCGAAGCGAGCAGCACACCACAGCAGGTGCTAGCAGCAGCAGCAGCAGTAGCAGGCGGAGCTCAGCAGCAGCGAGCCAGCAGTAGCTAGCGTAGCGGGGCAGCGAGCCAGCAGCCAGTAGCGCTGTTTAGCAGCCAGGGGGTGTTGGCAGCTTTAGTGCTTAGCTTAGCAAGGCTCGCAGCGCAGCCAGCACCCACAGCAGCAGCAGCCACAGGCAGCTTCGCGCGTTTCATTAAAATGTTATGCTAAATAATACGAAAATCTATTTCCTACAAAAGTCTTAACGTTTCTCTACTCTCTTTCGCCTATTTTGCCGACAATTTCTGTAAATTGCATGCAATGCTCTTCTGCAACACACATGTACCACGCACGCACGGCGTGGTCCGCACACTGATCACGATTAAATATGATGTGTCATGTCGGCATAATTAATAGCTCGGTGAACGGAGTAGAGAAACGTTGAGACTTTTTGGGGGTGAGGCAAATAGATATGCGTATATTATTTAGGATTACGATTTTATGTGAACGGGCGCGGGGGCCGGGGGCGCAGGCAGATTGTGTTGTAGAATTACATTTTATTGAAACGCTCCAAGTGCCGGGGGCAGCAGCAGTTGTGTTGTAGCGCTCGTGAAAACGTACTGTCTGAATATCGACTGATGTAGCAGCAGTGAAGCCGAAGCATGGAAATGATTAGTATCACGAAAATTAGACATGGACGCAGCAAGACGCAATGCATCAAGAGAAAATACTGCGCTGGTTTTATTTGAGACAATTCTGTGCACGACGCGGGATAGATTTTGTAGAATTTACTTTGTCTCATTTTACTAGTCTAACGATTAGGGTAGGCTCAACGTCAATGAGCAAGGGCAGTAAATAGCGGTACGGGTAACATTTAGAACAAACGAACGAGCGAACAGCTGGTTACGCTCAGTAATTTCCGGAGAGCCAACGCAAAAACTGATGAAACTGCGCAACTTATAATACAGCTTGAAATTGCATTCATTTTTATAATTTTTAAGTGAGACCAATTTGGCAATAACCTGTCTACGTCTATAAGTCGCTCGTGTCTTTCATGTGCGGGTTAATAATATTAAAGTGATTACGTAACCGTAAATAGTAAAAGTAAAAAAATCATGTCCACTTTTTCACGAACTGTAAGTGATTCTGTTCACTTTTTATGGTTAAATTGCTGCATTATACTTCCTATTTTACGATTCCGTTCGATGTGAACAAACACTCGTGACTCATACATAGCCCATAGCAAGCATTAATGTCGCGATAAATATATCAAATCGCCCAGGTTTTTTGGATTTTTAACTAGTTGAAAAACAATCTTATCGGGTAAAAATATGAGGATACATTAAGTGCCGTTACTACTTACTTTTCATGTAAAAAATTGCACTAAAAATTTTACAACTATACACCATCGAAAATTCGTGACGTAGTCAATTTAAGAATGTCCTGAGCGCCTCACGCATTGCTCTTTATATGCTACATTCTTCCAGGTAATTGCACGACTAACTTCACCAAAGATCACCTCGCAGTGATTACCCATTTTTTTTATCTGGTTTCAGGTGATTGACTTGCTCAACGACCTTTACACCCTATTCGATGCAATACTCGTGAAATATGACGTCTATAAGGTAAGATATGCACTTTTTGCGCGCAAGATTTTCTATTGAAGATTTAACTTCCAGCGCGTGGTGCAAACAGTAAAAAAGTCTATGTGTATTGAATGCAATCAACAATGGCACACGCACACACGCACACACGCACATACGCATACACACGCACGCACGCACGCACGCACACACGCCCACACGCACACACGCACACACGCACACACACGCACATGCGCATACACGCGCGCGCGCGACTGTAAGCCCAGCCGTGCAATATTGACTATGCCTTCGGTGTACGCCTGTAAATATCATGTACATCATACATAGACACAGATTTACACATACAGCTCTTGATGTATATCATGTCATATCATACAACATATATTAGTAATATAGCGTACAATAACAACAAGCAGGCGGGCAGGCAATCTATACCGTTTTCTACAATAAGTTTGTGTTAGCGTGTATGTCAATGTGTCCCCCCCCCGCCCAAATGTGTATCACGTCAATTCGCGGATAGATCGATTAACGTTCCTAGACGAACAACAGGATGGAAGTGTTGTTAGAAGCTAATACCACGGTCAGATGTAGATTCATGTTGAGTGTGTAGGGGGAGGAGGTAGTGCATGTCTGCCAGTGTATGCGGCTTATCCGGGGTTGGCCATGCATACACACGCGTTATGTGTGCACGTGGTAAACCGCTATGTGAAGCGACGGTCAACAATCGCCATCATATTGCCCCGGTTTACATGAATATGGCTTCATCATAGATGACATGAAATTACATGTCATACGATCGGACTCGCCTTGGCATTTATATTGTTTTTAGCTTATTAAGTAGCTTACTAATTAAGGGTAGCCATACAGAAAGCCGTTTGATCAGGCAGGGTATAACCGCAGAATAGCACATGCTATATTCGGTGTTGAAAGTGATTACGTCACCATTAAATAGAAAAAGTTAAAAAAAAATTATGTGCACTTTTGACCATTAGTTGTTACACCAGTGATTCTGTTTACTTTTTGTGGTTAAATTGCTACATTATATACTTTCCATTTTGCTATATTGTTCGATGTGAACAATCACTCGTGACTCACACATAGCCCATAACAAGCATTTAATGTCGTGATAAATAATATGTCAAATCACCCAGATATTTTGGATTTTTATCTAGTTGAAAAACAATCTTATCAGGTAAAAATTTGAGGATAAATTTAGTGCCATTAGTAATTACTTTTCATTTAAAAAAATTGTAATTACAATTTTACAAATGTACACCATAGAAAATTCATGACGTAGTCAATTGAAGCTAAGATTTTCATAAACAACCTAGTTTTTTAATATACGCTATGTGTTAAAGAGCTTTGTGACGTTATAATTAGTAAACGTGACCACCAAGGTCACCAAAGGACGTTACATTTGCCATTCACGCTACCAGTAATACACCACACGCAGCCGCCATTTGTCGGTTCGATTATTTACACTTCTTACAAAAAAGGCGCTCGCGCTTGAGCTACTTTTAGTTACTTACTAAATTATTAATAATCACATTGAAGGGTCACGAAAAACCCTGCTTTTTTATATTGGCGAGCTCTCAAGGCAGTATTCCTCGACAGCGAGAGGTAACAGAGGCTATTACAATCTCTAGTCCTGTATCATCATCGCCAAGTTTCTACTTAAAACTCTTTTTTAATTATTCTCGTTTAGATTTGCAGAGACAAATGCCCTGACGAAGCAATCTAGGAGTCTCTCGATCAGGCTTACATTTAATTACCGATGCCATAATCCGCAGGTTGCTGCCGCCAACAATATTGCTTCACGGCACTGGCGTACAACTGTGTAAACCTGAAATCTGAATGCTGAGTCATGAACCTAATTATGATGAGCCAATTTTTTGCCTACTAATGAACGAGCGCAATTAACAAACACGTTAGCTTTATTGGTTCAATCTACGTTGCGACGTGAACCCATCACACGTACGCAAAAATACAACTTATCTAACTTCCCGCGATTTCAAACGACAAGTTTCCCGCAGTAGAAAACAGACCCACCGCCCACACAACTGATTCGATTGTTTCGAGGTTTCCCCAATATACGCATACTTCTGTCGTGTATCCTAATTCTGATTTATGAAATCAGATGTGTGAATAAGAGACCTCAACCATCTCTTCAGAACGCCAATCCATTACACCAGTGGCGGATCTAGAAGGGAGGGGTTACACCCCCCCCCCCGTTTAGCCACTGACTACTGTTATGATACTGGTAAAATGGGCCCAAAAACAAAAATGTCAGTCTGCAGGCTAATAGAAACTGGCGATTTTCCCTGGGACCACACAGCTGCCTAAATTTTTCAGCCCCAGGGAGAGTGCCTTGTGCACGCCTTCACTTAAATATCACCCCCCCCCCCCCGTTTCCTGAAAGTTAGATCCGCCCCTGTACACTACCCCAAAATGGTTCGACACGCTTATCAATCGATGATATTCCGCTTATAAATTACTGACAAGTATGAAGACAATATAGAACTTCTCACGGACTTCTTCATGAATTAACCAGGTGGAGACCATCGGTGATGCGTACATGGTGGTGAGCGGCTTGCCCATACGTAACGGCAACAATCACGCTCGCGAGATATGCAGCATGGCGCTTCATATTTCGCGCATATATATTGTATTTCACGCATATTTCGCGCATATATCGTATTTCGTATATATATCGTATTTCGTATATATCGCTCGTATTTCGTATATATATCGTATTTCGTATATATCGCTCGTATTTCGCGCATATATCGTATTTCGTATATATATCGTATTTCGCGCATATATATTGTATTTCACGCATATTTCGCGCATATATATTGTATTTCACGCATATTTCGCGCATATATCGTATTTCGTATATATCGCTCGTATTTCGTAGGGCCTATATGTATCGTATTTCGTATATATCGATCGTATTTCGCGCATATATCGTATTTCGCGCATATATCGTATTTCGCGCATATATCGTATTTCGTATATATATCGTATTTCGTATATATCACTCGTATTCGCGCATATATATCGTACTTCGTATATATCGCTCGTATTTCTCCATAATCTTATAGAGCAGCAATGGACGGCCCCGGAGCTGCTACGTTCGGTTATCGTACACGCATAATTTATATTCTTACGTACTCAACTTGTTATACAACACGCGTCTGGTATTGTTATGCTCAGGAAACTAGCTAACTTGGATGCGCCCCCCGTGTTGACGCAGTGCAGTCGCCGCGTTCCAATTGTCGTTATTATTTTGCTAAATCTATTTTTATATAAAAACTAGATCGTTCTAACACGCTTATTAAACGAGTAAGCGAAAAATTATTTTCTTCGCGCATTGCAGCTCTAAAGATTCACATCAGCTCAGAGACCAAAGAAATCCTAGATACGTTTGGTTGCTTTCAAATAAGCGAGAGGGGATTGGTGGATATGAAAGGTAAAGGCCAACTCGTCACCTTCTGGCTCTTGGAGGAGGTTTTCCAATCAGACACGCAGGAGAATCCAGGCACAGAAATTTGAGCACGCCATTCGATTTTATCAGAGTATGGTGGCGGGGATCGAAAACTCGTTAGTAAACCGCCGGCGTTCAATCGTTAAGGTAGCTTTGCTTGCTAGTGCGTTTATCGTTAGACGCTGTAGACTAGCTGTGATTCGAGAATTGTCTGTGACCTCCACGTGGTAGATCTATAGATATAACCTTGAAGTAATCATTCTGTCAGCCAGAATGATCAGTCAGAATAATTACTCCAAGATATAACCCATGTAGACTGTTACAGCGATCGTTATCTGCCGTGCTTGAGAGGGAGGATTACGGGTCTGTTAATATAGGGGAGGGTTTGGTATGTTTGGGGGGATAGAGTTGACGCGAGCGTCGATCATCACCGATTATTGCACACGGCAGTGGCAGCATTTTACATATGCATCTAGGATTCTAGATCAAGAGTATATAATAGAGATGTCTATAATAGAGAATCTATGATAGAGATCTCTATTATGTACTCTTGATCTAGATTGAATTCCTGCGTGTTATCTAGTCTGGGTGTCTGCCTAGCTGTATAGCTGTGTAGCTGTAGCACATTAATTGCCACTTAATTACTTTGTTCTCATGTGCATATAAATAGAATAAGCAGTTTATCTTCGCGGACACTTCTTCTCCTTGTAGACCTGCTATAACTCATATAGTCTCTTTGGACGTTTATAAGAACCAAGGATTCGATTAGCGTGTTTTTAGCGAATAAGTTGACCGTCAAAATACGTTCGTGTTGTCACCGGTAGATGTCGGTAGTGAACACGCACGTGTGAAACTCTGCTCTAACACAGCGGTACGTATAGTCACGTGACATCCTGCTCTAACACGCAACCGGCAGTTAGATGCGATATGATATGACTACTAGGCACTTTAATTAAATTAAATTTTTTTTTTTAGGGTTAGGGTTAGGGTTTAGGTTAGGTTTAGGTTAGGTTAGGGTTAGGGTTAGGGTTTTTTTTAAGTGCCTAGTAGTCATATCCTAAGTGTCTAGTAGTCATATCATATCGCATCTAACTGCCGGGTGCCTCTAACACAGCGGTACGTATAGTCACGTGACATTTGACGCTGACATGGGTATTCGTGCAAACTCCACGACAGATGGCGCTCTCGCTCTGGCTAAATTCACTATTGTATACTGGTATTATATACTATAGAGGGTTCCGCGACTTGGACTAAAAATAGCAATATTACCTACAATCCCGTGCCGCCAGCCATACTGGTAGTCGGAATTGCAAACACGTGTTACCGATATGCGCAATCTACCGATTTTACATCGATAGATTGTACATACGATATTGTTATTATAGTAATCTATATTAGCAGTGAGTGGATCCCGGTTTTGCAGACAGGTTTACCAGCGCGTGTTGGGGTGCTAGAGTTCGATATGATTGTGCAGACCCGGTTTTACAGGGTGTTGCAGGCTGGTTTATCAGCGTGGGTAGAGATATGCTAGTCTGCTAGTGTTCAATGAGATTACACAGGTCTGGTTTTGCAGGCCTTTGCATGCAGGTTAATTTATTAGCGTGGGTTGGGATCATAGAAATAGATAGATAACCTATCTATTTCTATGGTTATCTATCTATCTATAATATGGTTATCTATCTATCTATAATAGATAGATGGTTATCTATCTATTTCTATGGTTGGGATGCTAGAGTTCGATGGGGTTGCCGCACAGTCGGCGGATTGCTAGATTAAGCAATTAAGTCCGGAGATTGCACGCAACACATATCATGGACTTGTAACGAAGCTAATTCATCCATACTTATTTATAAGACTTTACACCGGCAGATTCGTTGACAGGGACTGGCAGTGGGAGTGACCACTGTCCTACTGCCTTGGCACTAATGAGCCGAGTGTTTGATTAGTCACCCGAGGCCAGTCCCTGTCACCGAATCTGCCGGTTTAAATTATTATAAATGAGTATGGCTGAATTAGCTTCATTACAAACTTGAATTTGTTTACATCGCGAGTGTTCAGAAATTTCAACGATTTTACTGCTTATAGCTAGCAATTAAACGCAGCGTTTTATAATATCTGGTGTATGCACATTTGCCAACTGTCTGAAGTGTACGTAGTATGGACAAGCACTTTGATTCACTAGACAACGTAGCCAAAGCACGCTATCTCGAGAAAATTGCGTGCATTGGGAATCGACACCTGTACGAGAATGGAGCGAGGACCGTAACTTGTGCCC